TTCCAAGATTCTTTCATCTTTGACCTTCTGTCTGAAGAAATGTCTATAGCTAGTTTTTCCTGACAGGTGTCCTACGAAAAAATTCTTTTAACCTTTCTTTGTCTGATAATATTTTTTATTTCTTCTTCATTATTGAAGAGTAGTTTCATTAGACATAACATTCACAGTTAAGAGTCTTTTCTTTCAGCACTGGAAAAATGCACCTCTTCCTTCTGCCTACATGGTTTCAGATGAAAAGCCCACCATCATTTGAATTGACATTCTCTATAAGTAATGTGTCTCTGGCTACTTTCAAGATTTTTTCTTTGTCTTTAGTTTATGAATGTTTAATTATGATTTGTCTTAATTTGTTTCATTCTGTTTGGAATTTATTCAGCTTGTTAGATCTGTAGCTTTGTGTTTTCCACCACATTTGGGAAGTTTTCATCCATGATTCCTTCAAATACAAGCATGCCTTGGAGATATTGTGGGTTCAGTTAAAGCAAATATTGCAATAAAGTGAGTCAAATGAATTTTTCCCTAATGCATATAAAATTTATGTTTACATTATATTGTAGTCTATTAAGTGGACAGTGACATCATGTCTAAAAAACAATATACATACTTTAATTTAAAAATGCTTTATTGTTAAAAAATAAGGTAAAATAAATGTGCTTTATTGCTAAAAAAAAAAATGCTAATCATCATCTGAGCTTTCAATGAGTCATAATCTTTGTGCTAGTGGAGAGTCTTGCTCCAAGTTGCTGGCTGCTGACCAATGAGGGTGGTAGTTGTTAAATGTTGGGATGGCTGTGGCCATTTCTTAAAATCAGGCAACAGAGAAGTTTGCTGCACCAATTGACTCTTCCTTGCATGATTTCTTTGTAGCATGCACCGCTGCCTGATAACATTCTACCCACAGTAGAACTTCTTTCAAAATTGGAGTCAATCTTTTCAAACCTCACCACTGCTTTAGCAACCAAGTTTATGTGATATTCTAAGTCCTTTGTTGTCATTTCATCAATCTTCACAGATCTTCACCAGCAGTAGATCCTAGCTCAAAAAAGCACTTTGTTTGCTCATCCATAAAAAGGAACTCCTCATCCATTCATGTTTGATCATGAGATGGCAGCAATCCATTCACATCTTCAGGTTCCACTTCTAATTCCAGTTCTCTTGCTATTTTCACCACATCTGCAGTGACTTCTTCCACTGAAGTCTTAAACCTCTAATTTGTACAAAATGCAGTGTCTGTGAAGTGCAATAAAGTGAGACACAATAAAACAGGGGTGTGCTGGTACTCTTATAGCACATTCTCTTCTCTCCCTCTGGAAATCCAGTCATATGCATATACAATCTTATAATATTGCCCCACAGACCCCTGAGTGCCTGTTCAATTTTTTTTTTCAGTCAGTCTTCTATCTATTGAGATTGGGTAATTCCATTGATCTGTCCTCAAGTTTACTGACACAATCTTTTTGTTCTCCATTCTACTACTGAGACTATCCAGCAAGATTTTTTCTTTTATTATATTTTTCAGTTCCACAATTTCCACTTGGTGCTTGTTTATAACTTCTATTCCTTTGTGAAGATTTTCTATTTTTTCATGGTGCATGGCTCTCCTCATGTTGCTGGAGAGATTACTGTTGGATCCCATGGGAAAGAATGAGCCTACTTGGGATGTTTTCTGCTGCTGGGTTGGGTGACAGGAAACAACAGGCCTGGGTCACTTTCTTCCATGGGTGAGGACGCAAGATGCCCTGTCACTGTGCTGTTTTCTAGTCTTGGTGTTTAATCAGTTTACCTTATTTCTATCACTTTTTAGCGTTCTCTTTTGGGTGTCTCTGGTGCTATTTCGAGAGATGACAGTTATGGGTAGTGTGGAGGAGCAAAGAGAAGCCCGTCTATGTTGTCCTGTTTGGAGAGGAAGTCAGAATAGTCTGTTTTTTAAGGCTTTTTGTTTCCAGAGCAGGAGTTCATAATCTGAAGTTGTATTTTGTGCCTTTCTGTGCATTTGCCTTTCTCTGTATCCTGGAGCTTTCATATGTGTTTCAAAGTAGATGGTGATAAAAAAGGATCAAGCCCTGCTCTCAGAGTGGCCTCATTTCTGGGGCTTGCTGCCCAGCCACACCAGCTATGTCTAGATTAAGAGTTTCCATGAAAGGGCTCAGCAAGACTCTTGGTTTCCCTTGCTCCTTCCCACCCATGAAAACCAGAGCCTCAGAGGCTGCATATCTGTCAGAACCCTGACCTTAGTAGCCTCTAGAATAGAAGTTCTACAAGGGCAGCATCTGTGCCTGGCATAGAGAAGTTGCTCAGTAAACATCTGTGTGAATAACAGACTCAGAGCTAAGGTAGCCTGAGAATACCCTGCAGCCCCAGAACTTCCTTCTGAGCCTACAGTATATAGCTCATTATAACCCTTTGTGGGGGAGGGAGACTGTTCAAAATGGGGTGAAAGCCTCATGGAGAAGACCTTATTCAATTTAGACCTTCCTGGGGTGCTCTTGACTACACAGGATTCCTCAGGCCTGAGCAAGTAGAGAGGAAGGACCAGATTTAGGGTGTACCCCATAAAATAACTTACAAGGACCAACCATGGTGCCAACCACATCTTTCTGGGACAGATGAGGACATGCATCCATTCTCCATCAAGCCCCTCATTACACCCTAAATTTTTCTAGAAAATGCCACCAGCATACCATGCCCCCTAGGCAGGCAGTATGCCATTTCCACTCAACTCCACAGCCAGAGAGAGGTGAGGAAGACTTTACAAAAAAGAGCCAGATGCCCCTGCAGCTCTCCGCTACCATCACCACTACGTGGATGATTGAAAATCACACAGTAACTGAAGGCTTCTATTCAGCTGCACTTCCTCTTCTTAACATGGTAATTGCTTTGTTCATTTTTGCTTTACCTTTGATTTAGTGCACATGAACAAAAACATAATAAGAGGGGGGAAGAGAACATGCATTTTCTAAGCTGCCTAGAGTCTGACAATTGTTTAAATGTGTGTGTACACTTAACAAGATGGCAGATTATGCCATTAGCTTATCTTCAGGGTAATAAAAACTACCATTCAGGAACCAAAAATCTTCTAATGGTTTATTGAAATGGTTCCCTCTTGCAACATCATCACCGTACTTTAGGATAAGGAGAAAAGTATGTTCCAATACAACATCAGATAATGCCAAATACACAGACTTGCAAGAGAAATAGCTCACTTGGGAAATAGAGAGAAGTAAAGAAAATGTACTGAGTGAGAGATGCTAACTGGACCTCCAGTAAGTGAAGTAAACAACGACCCATATGGGACGTCAGATTCTCCTCAGTGGTCAAAAACACTCAGGAGGAGGGTGAGTAGAGAGGAGCCACGTTCCAATGTGTCTTAGTTAATTTAATACCCCACAGATTTATTAGTCTACGCTTTCTGAAAAAATTCCTTACATGGCAAAGAGAGCATGTGCCTCAGTGAGGGAGTTCAGGGATTACTTGGACCGGGCTTAAAAGATGCATGTAGCGTAGTGCACACCAGTGTCAGCTTTGGAAAGTGCTAGAGAGCCCCAAGGCACTTGATGTAAATGCTGAGAGTGGTCTTTCATCAACTGGCGATCCCTTCCCTGTGAAACTTCAATTTATGTAGGCTTCTTCTGGATTTATATTTTTTCCCCTTTGGAATTTTCAAACCGGGAGAGTTTGGGAATTTGGAATCAAGTACACTAGAATTGCAAATCACTTCAAATTGTTTCCTACTGACTCCAAGTGGTAAATCAAGAAGGTTCTGAGCTTTCAGATGGGGTCCAAAGAGAAAAAAAAAAAAAAAAAACACTACTTGCTATGTGCTCTGAGCCGTCTGGCAACCCAAATCTGGTCCCCCCCTGCCTCCCATCTCAAGGGATGGCATTCCTCCAAACACAGGTTCTCTAATGGGAATCTGAGAGACATTCTCGTCCTCCTTTCCCTTCCCCTTCCTCTGACTGTTTCCAGTCAGTCACCGAGCCCTGCTGGTTGTACCTCCTAAGAGCTCTTCCTTCTGTCCAGGTCGCCTTATCTCCACCACCTCCTGGTCCCTCCAGGCACATTTGTCTCCATGGGAAGTAGCCTTGGGACTGGTCTCCACTGTGTTCACTCTTACAACCTCCTGATCCATCCATTGAGACACAAAACTGATTCTATTGCCCCTTTCCTTATAACTTTCCATGACCTCCTCCTACCCTTTCTTAGGATGGCCACCAGGCTCTGCAAGGTTTTGTCTCGCCTCTTCTCAGTACCATTTCTTGCGACTTGGGGTTCATTTCCTGTGCTACCATAGCCCTCTCTTGTGATCTGTGCCTCTGTGGAGTTAGCTGTTCAGCAGCCCCAACTGTGTGTACATTTAATAAGAGTGGGGGGCACCACTACAAGAGTGGGCTACCACTCTCTACTCAAACTCTAACTCTTCAGCTTCATTAGCCTCCTTGAGTTTCCATATACCATGACTTTTACCCCTGAGGACATTTGCACAGACTATTCTGTTGCCTGGGATGCCAACCCTGACTCTTTCAGGTCTCATCTTAAATACCTGCCATAGAGCAGATCGGGGGGCCCCGCTTTCCACGCCTTAGCATCCTGTTCTTCTCTTCTGAACTCTTATCACACTCGTATTTAAAAATTGAGACATTATTTGTGTGGTGAATTGTTTTACAACGGGCTCCACCATTAGAACAGAAGCCCCGTGAGTGCGGGATGGCCATCTGCCATGCTCTTGGCTCTTTGTCTTACCAGAGCTCAAGATTTGTCAGATGAATAAATTATCTGGAAAAAAAAAGTCAGAAATTGTTCACAAAGAAACCTCGGGGGAGCTTAATCTTGAAGGTATGCTAGTGAGAAGGTGATGACAAATGAAAATTAATTGCATGCTACCTTTTAACTAATATGTAAAGTTATCATTAGTGTTTGGTAGGAGCGCTTATTACATTTTTAGTGAGTGCAAACATATTTACACATGCTTTAAGGTTCTCTGAAAGACTCACATCCTTGAATTTTTCTTTATTTAGTTTCCTTGTCTGCGCTCTCCACTTCTCTCTGCGGAGGCTGAGTGGTGTCAGCCCTGGCTTCACATCTGAGGAATTTTTCCAAAATCCTGTTGGCCTTGCCCCGCCCCCCAGAGATTCTGATGTCATCAGTGGGGGCAGGTCCCCAGCAGCCTGCGATAAGAAAAACACTGACTGAGACTCCATACCAGACGTGAATAACTCTTCAGTGAAATGCCTTATGTAGGGAAGCTGGAAGGTCTTTCATTTTTAAATAAATTTCCTTTAGGGTTTGATGGACACGATTTTACCTTGGGCCATTGAAGCAGCATGCTTCCTTAAAAAGTATTTCACACTGGAGTTAAATGTGCTGTCTCTTCATTATCTAAAATAACCAAGAACAGATACGGTCTTGGAGCAATGGAATCATTCGAGCTGATTTCAACTAAGTTTCCTGAAATACCTGCCCCACAACCCAAGCTGGGGGTGGTGGGCTCCCTGGCCCCCCCAAAGTGACACTGCCAGCCTCCAGGCCCAATTTCTCACCTCGTGAGACACCTGCTGCCACCGTCTACCACCCTCCCCAGCTAAAAAAAGAGGCTGTTTGCTCACATTCTTCTTCCACATCTTCTATTCTCTTGCTCTCTTCTTTGTCCCATTTTCCATTTTTCTACTTCCATTTTGTCTTAGTTAAGGATGTGCCTTTCAAAGACCTGTTCTTTCCCTATAAAAGCCAAAAAAATATGTGCACACGCTATCAAGCCAAATGTACGTACACACACCCCCTAGAAGCCCCTCATCAGGGAAGAGGGAAAAGAGTAGGTACATCAAGTCCTCCAAATGTAATTAAAAGTGTAATTCTCACCTAGATCCTCTAAGCATTGCTTCTGTCCCGGAGCACCCCTTGCTTTTAGACAAAGGTGTCCTCCACATGCTCTGTGACCTTTCTGAGTGGCCCTTCAGCGTGTCAAGGCATCCTAGTGTGGTGCACTCACATGAAGGTTCTGGTATATTGCAAATGTCAGTCTACTTTGTTTTGAGAATAAAAATTAAAATGCAAGTGTGATTTTGTAAGTAATCGTCGTAAGGATTAGGGTCAATAATGGAAAAAATATAATTACAAGGATTATAATAAAGAAAAATGTGGTTGGTAAGTGCCTGGGGCACGTGGCCATGAGAAAGAAAGTCGAACTTGCTTTATCTTGGCTCTCATGCATGTGTTGCCAGGGGCCATTGCTTTTCTGTAACAATGTGTCCTTTACTATGGGTTAAAAAAGGGATTTGTTTTTATTACAAACCTTGCATATAAAGATGGTTTAGAAAATAACCACTGAAGAGATACTAGAGAGAAAAGAAGCAGCAGATAAGCAAATCTGAGCCAACAAAATACACCTTTGCCTTTTGGTAACACAGTGGGTCACGTGGATACAATTTCCCATATTATCCATTCTATATGGTGCTTTTTATTCTCTCTGGAATAGGGTAGTTCAGTCCCCAAATAGTATGCTTTTGCAAGACCTCAATTTAAGAAGGCGACCAAACCAGCGTCTAACAAAAAGGCATGTTCCATGGCTCAAAAGTTAAGGTAAGTTTTGGAACCAATGAAAAAATAGAGCTGGCTCTTTCAACAAGGGAGAAAGTATCTCAGATCCTAGTTGGATATTCGTTCATTCATTTATTTATGGAGTGCTCATGATGCACTGGCCTTGGGTTCGATGCTGGAACAGCTTAGGTAGAAGAATAGCTGCCCAAATTCCAGTTTCTACTGCAAGATACCAGAACAGGTATCTTGCAGTAGAAAGCTGCAGGTTGCAGGGGGGACATGGGGGGGAGGTGGAGGTTATTCAGCCCAACTAAATTGTTCCATTCCCTGGAGACGTCTAACCCTATTATAATGTGCTGAGCACCGTGCCTGGCCTGGTCCTACGGAATTGAGGAGAGATTAATCTTGTGCCGTTCTCTTGACAGTCCTTGGGACATGTGGCAGAGTGGTTAAGGGTGAGCACTCTGGAGCCAGACAGCGGGGTCTGAATGTTGCATCCGAATCATCAGTTTGACTTGGTTAAGTCTGTTGTTTTAAACTTTCTCTGTACAGTCAAAGTTCCTCATCTGCATAATCAACATGATAGTGCCAAATCCATAGGATTCTTGTGAAAGAATTAATGCATTTAAGGAACTGAAAACATGGTCTAGCATAGTAGGTGAACAATAAACATTAGCAACTATTATTATTGCACATCCTGACCTTTGTCATAGTATTATATTCTGCTTTCTATTAATGTGTGTATGCGTATGTATATATATCATGTTCAATAAATTCCTTCAAGAAAGGAAATGGGTGTGAGTTTTCTTTATACTCCTAGCTCCTGACATTAAGGTTTGAAGTGACTCGAGGATGATAATGGCAGAAATGTTTAATTTTATTTCACATGGCATTTTCGTTTTAGGACAATATCAGAGTGTTGATATTTTTTTTTTCCCAACTTATCACTGACATAAAAATCTTTATCTCTAAAATGGTATCTCTAAACGGTATCCCAAGGATTTTGCTTTGGGAGAATCAGAGGAATTCAGAATGATTTGAGAGACGATTTGACATGAATTTTGCAATTGGCCCAAGGACACTGTTGCCCCAGGTTGTTTATAGAGTTTGCTCAGACTTTTTAGGTCCACACTTCTGGGTTTTAGGTTTTTAATCCTCCTCTTTGTTTGTGAATGTTGCTTATTATTACTCAGACTTAGTTTAAAAAAAGCTTGATACTGAAGTATGAGGTCCAAGTGCGTTATCTTTAGTTCTAGAGATGCCGCCTCGAAAATGCTGGGGTAGCTCAGCACCAACAGAATCAGGCCATACCAGCTCACAGAGGAGAGTCTCCATCATTGTTAAATAGCTGGCCCGTCTGTGTGCAATCATCATCTCTCCGCTCTTTAAACTTATTCTAAGAGTGGGTCCACCTCACCGATAGCCACCAGGAGCCGTAATAAAATTTGCATTCTAATACTTAGCCGCAACTGCAGCCAATAAAACATCCCCATATAGGTTTCTCTCTTGGAAAACAAATGTTTTGCTGCAAATCCAAAGATCATCAGGAAATGAGAAAATCCGAAGAAAGCACTGCATGTATTTTAAGGGAATTGCGCTGTGCCAGGTAATGCTAAATAGAATATAACCAAAGTTACTTTGAAGTCATGCTAGTTTAAATAATGGGGTAGGACAATGAGGTCTCTGTCTTGCTCTAGTATAGAGAATACGATGTTAATACCTGAAACCAGATGGGCATTTTAAAGAATTGGATTTTTAAAAATATTGCGCCTGTACTTTTTCCTCTGCTTTTCACTCTTCTCCCAACCATGATTTCTTTTGATCATTTTGGTGCACAACACATCGCTTTTGGGGGACATTATTTCATCTTTTCAAAGTTTAATTATGACATATGACAATTACGCGGTGGTTTGAACAATCTGCTTGGCACACACACTGATCTCCTGTAAGCCTCAGAAAGTGGATATTTGCTGCTCTAGGACCCCAGAGTACTTTCCTCACTGGCTCCATTCGACACATGGAGCTGCTTTCTCAAACCACCATGTAAATATGATTTGTGATAATTGCACGTGGACAAGATGCAATAATTATCACTCCGCTTTTCAGCAAAGGTTAACCAAACTCTATGTGCCATGCGCTGTGCAAAGGTAGCACAGCTTTTGTTCCCAAGCTTACCATTCAGGGCGAGGCAGAGAAGAAATCCTCACATGCCATCACATGGGATCCGTGCAATAGCAAACAGAGCAGCCAACGAGACAGATCAGGCAGCTCTCCTCAGAGTTGTGTGCAGAGTGGATAGAAGCAATAAATGCTCACCTCAGATTTCTCTGGCTAAGCCACCACGCTGCTAAGACCTCCCCATTGGGTAAGAGGTGAGTCCTCTCCCCACGCATCACCCCTCGGCTCTCAGCAGGGTCTGCCCTCTTTTCTTTCCCCTTCCACCAGGCCAGAGATGCAATCAGAGGGGCCCTAAGCTCCCTCTGGTTGGGGAGGAGAATTCTCTCCCTCCTGCAGGGGGCAGAACGGAGGCAGGGTGGGACCTGGGCAAGAGGCAGAAGTGACCATGGGCCGCATACTCCACAGAGAGGGGAGTAATCGAGGCCCGGTTCACCATACTTGGGGCTAAGAGAGGTTTGCGGCAAACCACCCTAGCTAGCACGCTCCTTGCAAACACCCCTCAGGAATCTGAAGTGCTCAGAGGTCCTAGCTGAAGGTTGAAAATCTTCCCGATTTCTGTCAGAAGAGCCAACTAGCAGATTCTCAGGACTTTTTGTTTTTGCTTTTCTGGGGTTTGGGATTTCTACACCCCCCATGACTTTTAAGACTTTTAAAATTCATTTGACAGAGAGAGAGAACACAAGCAGGGGGAGTGGGAGAGGGAGAAGCAGACTCCCCGCTGAGCAGGGAGCCCGACGTGGGGCTCGATCCCAGGACCCTGGGATCATGACCTGAGCCAAATGAAGGCAGACGCTTCACCGACTGAGCCACCCAGGGGCCTTCTCATGACTTTTTGAGTTTGCCCCTCAATGCCACGCACTAAAAGCCCTCAAAGCCCTCTCTCTCAGAAGTGGCAGTGAGTTCAGCATCCATTCAAAGAGAAGAGGCAGCAGCTGTTTTCACTCAGGGGTATTCACACCCTAGGCTTCTCAAAATCCCCTTCAAAGCCATCGGTAAGAGTCTGGTAGCTCTATCCCAATCTGCCAGCACAACCTTGGCATTCAGCTCCAGCCTTAAAATACTGCCCGACTGTCCCCTGTGTATACGTTGTTTTTTCCTAAGACAGAATTCTGAACCCTGGGGAAGAGTCCATCTTAGTGACACTCAAACAGAACCAGCTTGGATTGGCATTCATGCCGGCATGCAGCCCCTGGTAGAGGTGCCCCCCTCCCCGAACCACCACCCCAGATGGTGAGTGCAGAATGGGTTAGGGGTCCTCCCCATAGATGCTGGAGGAAAAGGGCATGAACGTGAGTTCCTGGTCTGGAAGCCAGGCCTGGGATTTGGGGCATGCATATTCACGAATGCCCCAAAAGAGAATGGACAGCCAGCTGTGAACACATTGTACGTGTGGAAAACGGCCCGCGGAGGACAATGAACGTGGGGCCAGAGGACAGTTTCTTCATTTTTGGGTTTTAACACCGGTCTATTATTTTTAACAGCTTTGTGCTTCCACCCAATTTCAGTTCCCAGAGCAATTTTCAGACCCGATTCCCTCTAAACAGAATGATGGACTTATCAGCATGTGAAACAGAATTCATTCTGTTGTGGTGGCTGGAAATGACAAACACTGAAAACATCAAGAAGCTGAAAAGGAAATGTTTTCTATCGTCTACCTACTAGGCATAATTTATTCTTTTCAGTGCATTTTAAAGGTATATGTTTTTATCAACAATACTTTTAAGAGAGGACCACTAACATCCTATATCCTGCCTAAGCTGAGCTGACATATGGACACCTGGTTTACCAAAAAAAACAAAGCAGAAACCAGGAAATACACAGTATCTTTACATTCTCCAGGCTGCCAACCTGACATTCTATCCCAGCATTTTTAAATTAGTGAACCATTTTTTAAAAAGAGATTCAGAAATGTAATTTCTATTTACTTTCAAAAATATATCAAAATTTATTCAAATTAGAAATGTGGGGGCGCCTGTGTGGCTCAGTCATTGAGCACCCGCCTT